ATGCCTGTAGTCCTAGTGCTCTGGGAGGCTGAAGCAGGAGAATTGGCAAATTAAACCACAGCCTGAACAATTTAGTGGCCCAGTGAGACCCTGTTTCAAAATACAAAATTAAAAAGGATTGGGTTTACATCTTACCTTAGGTCCTGGGTTTAGTCCTTAGTATCCCCCTTCCAAGAAAAGGCATCATAATTTTGGTTTCCTGGGATCATAAGCTTTCTATTTGTATTGTTTTCCTTTAGCTTCATTTTCCTAAGAAGCTAGAGGAGTTAAAAAGTGAGTTAAAAAGGGAATTTGGCGGAGAACAATGCAGTGCTTTCTTGGTAACATTCACCCTTTCAATGTTCAGTTTTGGGAGGCTGAGGTGGGAGGATTGCTCATGCCCAGGGGTCCAGGCCAGTCTGCCTGCTGCAAGAAAAAAATAAGCAACCCCCAGCCATCCCAAAGTGCCTTCTCTTCAGTAAAGATAGGGAAACAGATGTAAATTTGTGTATTTAAGGTTATTCAGTGAGAGATAGCCAAAAATACAGTCTGGATACTTTCCAGATTTGTCAGCATGTACATTGTAGTGGCAAGTCACTTAATTAATATTTATTAAATGTCTGTTCTGGGAATACTGATTTGTTATTTCATAATTTATGGCTGTGCTGCAATCCCAGAGATACTTGGGTGTTGCACTGTTGCAGTATTTTTCCTTCAACTTTTTAAGTGATAAAGCAATGCTTTTAATTCTAAGGACTTGGCAAATCTTAAATGTCAAAAAAGAAAAAAAAGAAAGTAGGAATCATTTGCTTTTGAAATAGAGAACTCTGGGTGTTGGAAAGCATTTTGCCCATGTGTGCTGTTATTGAAATAAAATATTTGTACTTGGCTGACTTGTGTACACCAAATGTCACGGCTCAGACCTCTCTTTGGTTAGAGGTCTAAGGGTTCAGTCTTTCTGCTGTTAAGTAGGCAGTTAATCTTCAGAGAAATGCAGAAAATGTGCTTGATAATTACTAGATGGAATTTATGTTGTCCTTTGTGTTACAGACTGAATCTGAAAAGCTCAAAGGCAGTGAGCTACTTCGGTCCTTCGTCACCTTAGTTTTGCTGTGTATAGGTACCCCTTGTGTGATTGCCACTGGGTCCTCTCATGGAGGGACCCACAGGCTGGCGTTGCTGGGAGCTCTCCTGGGGAACGGCCCCAGGCAGGTGCTGTGTGTCTTCGTGGACCAAGCCCCAGGAGCTTGCTGAAACACCCCATGTCAGAGTTTGTCACTGAGCATGTCACCCAGTGGCCTTCCATTAATTTTCCTCTGGAGGAACTTGTCTGGATTTGGTGGTCAGGTTACATGCTTCTGTGCCTCCTGTGAAATGGTGCTTTGCAATAGCATCATTTTATGCCACTTGACATCTTTCATGAGTCAGTCCATTTTCACAGACCCCTCTTCCCATCTCACAGATGTTAGAAAATAAGAGGCAAAGGCCTGTGATAGCGTTCAGTGGTTGTAAGGTCAGAGGGTGTTGCATCTAGGAGAACAGGTTAAGGCTGAGAGCCTGGAGCAGCAGAGTATGGGGACCCTGCTCTTCTGAGCCATCTTCTGGACCCTTGCCTTAAAGCAGAAGGGACCCAGGAAGGCTGCCCTTGTTGTAGTTGTTCATACCAGAGTTGCCTGTGACAACACCACTCCTGAGGACAGCTTTGTGTGTTCATGCAGGGGAAGTGGGAAGGTATTCAGGACAGAGAGCCTTGAAGCCCAAGTTGGGTGGGAGGTAAGAACGTGGAGGTAGCATGGGGAGGACAGTTTCACAGTCCTTATTGTCAGGGGGAAAAGAGATCACTGGCCTCACTTTGCACTCCTTTACTGTCCAGGCCCTTCTGGTTCTCATCGTCACTCACCACTCATGGCAGCCTAGATGTGGGGGGGTGCATCCATTTCTGTGGGGTGTCAGTGTGTTGCATCCTCTTGGCTTCTGCTTTCTCATGATGTCAAACCCACCTGCAAACTCACTGGGCAGACATCCACCTTTACTGTGGGTGTGGCCATTTCTGACTCCTCCTACTTTATTCTCCATCCCACAATTTATCACCATCTAAATGCAAGCACACCTACTGATTAATGGCATTATTCACTCTCATGTATTCTGTCTTTCCCCCTCTTCTTACTGTCATTGCCTCATCATCTTGGTGAGGGTGCTCTCCACTTTGAGTGATTTGGTTACAACATGGGGACTGAAGCGAGAGTGGAGGTGTACACCTGCATTCCTAGCTGCTCAGGAGGATGAGGCAGGAGGTGTGCAAGTTCAAGCCCAGGATGGCCAACATACTGAGATGAAACCCTGTCTTAAAATAAGAAGGGCAGGGGTGTGGCCTCTGTTGTGAACTATATAGGACTGCAGACCTACAAACATGATAAATACTGTATTAAGAGTATGAATTTATTTGCCATGAATTTAAATTTTTTTCCTAGTCTATTGAACAAATATTTGCTTTCTATTTCGTGGGTTTAAATGCATTGTGAATGCCTAACATACTTTCTAACCCTGTTAATAAGTATACTAACAGAAAGCCAAAATACTATTTTCACAGCTACAATGGAGGTTAAATAGAAATTACGCCCAGGAGACAAAAGGAAAGAACAGAGTCCAGGAGGAGCACATACACGGAACTGAAGCTTTTCCCTAAAGCCTAGAGCAGGCATTGTGTAGTATGGAGAACTCACACCTGGAAATGAGGGGCCACAACCCTCCTTGTCACAGCGGCGCCTCCCGGGGAAGCAGCCAGCACCAAGAGGGAGCTGAGCAGCTCACTTGGCCTTCCTAATCCCCCACCTCCACGGGGAACACACTGGCCTGCCTGTGGAGGCTTCCTGGGATTCAGGGACACTGTAGAAACAGTGCTTGGCCTGCGTGCATGCAGCTTCTCCTCCTCCACCCCTGTGAGCTGCCTGTGGCTCCATTCCTCACGCCATCCAGCACAGGACCCTTCTGTGGGTTGTAACCACCTTTGGGGCTGACGGAGGCAGAGACAGGGACCACCCACTAACCAGTTTTAAAGTGAGAAACAGGGTTAGAGAGGTTAAATTACATCCCCACAAGATGTGTACAGAGGTGAGAAAGGTGACCTCATGCCACCTGTTGTGATGACAGCTTATGAGATGTGTGTTTGGTACATGTGGGCATGCATGTGGATGTGTGCACATATATTCACAGGCGTAGACATGTATATCATTATTTTACCACATATATTAACACACTTTGGGTTCATGGTGTTAAGCAGGATAAGGGAGACAGGGAAAAGGAGCACTTTGCTTGGAGGCTGACTACAAGCTGGAGTCAGCACAGGGCTTGGGGATGAGCTCCAGTAGTCTGATGCATCGCCAGGCATGGGAAGCGAGCAGGCTCCAGAGGGCGTTGGAGAGCGGGACTGGTTACACTGAGCTCGTGAGGACTGGCTACACCAGGGGCAGCAGGGGACGCTGAGGAGCATTAAACGGATTATTTAGGGTAGACGACACTGAAGACAGGACAAAAAATAGAAGGGAGCAGCTATAAATTGGAGCCGAGGAATAGGAGTTGCCATTGGTGCTGTCCGACGATGGCAAAGCACTGGGCTACAAGTTCCGTGTTTATTTCCGTGAATGTTGCTGGGGCCCTCAAGGATGGGAGTACAGTCCCAAGCTCTCCGCTGCGGGGGATGGCACCAAGCCCCTGCTCAGGCCAGACAGGCTCTAACAGTGGACAGTTCTAACGAGCAGTTTCACAATCGCGGGTTTCAATGCCTTACACTGTGCAATGGGGGGGGGGTAGAAGTAGGAGGAGTGACGGGCAGTGGGTACAGCTGATATCGATGGTGAGGTTATTCTGTGCATGGGCGTGCACGTAGCTGTGTTTCCCAGTGCTTTAATTCTTTGGGTTGTTTTATTTTTCTTAATAACTGGGGGCAGGTAGTTTGCGTGGGAGGAGGGCTTTGCACTGAACTCACCCTTTTTTATTTTTTATTTTGAGTAAAAGTCTTCCTAAGTTTCCTAGGCTGGGCTTGGACTGTGATCCTCCTGCCTCAGTTTCTCAGATGCTGGGACTACAGGCGTGTGTGTGCGCGCCACCCACCTGGCTTTTTCTTCATTTTATTGATGAGGAAAACAAGGCACAGAAAGTAGGAAACTTGTCCAAAGTCACATAGCCACTATACACACTGTCCTGACTTGACAATTCCACATCAGAATTGATTTTGGATTGTATTGTGAATCACTTGCATATTATTGAAATGTTTTCAGTTAATGTGTTATCTCCATTTTTAGAATTTTTTTTTTTCTTTTTGCGGAACTGGGGATTGAACTCAGGCCCTAGCGCTTCCCAGGTAAGCGCTTATTCTACTGAGCATCTCCCCGGCTATTTTTAGAATTTGAACTCCTTGAACTTTCCAGGGGCATTGGTAGCAGATTATCTGTGTTGTAAAAATGAAGGCCCAGTAGGGTTATCTGTAAGCCATTTGAATTATTGCAGTGTGCTGAGGAAGCCAAAGGAATCCTTACCATGTATTGTTAATAGCAATACCTTAAAAAGGAATAAAAATATTATAGATTCACAGAGGTCTTTTAATTTATTCTATGGAATGTCATTGACATACAGAATTTCTGGTGTTTAAATGCTAGTTAGGGAGATACATGGTTTTTTAATTACAGCAGAGAGAGGAGTGTTGGAAGGTTTGGCTGGTATGCTAATAGGTAAGAGAGACATCTTTTCTAATTAGGAAACAGTATGTAGACTCTAAAAGTTTATTTTATGGGAAGAAAATATGAATTAATAGCGACAGTATTTTTTTAAGTTAGGGGAAATTCTTTTTTTTTTTTTTTTTTTGGTGGCATCAGGGATTGAACTCAGGACCTTGAGCTTGCCAGGGAAGCGCATATTCCACTGAGTCATCTCCCCGACCCCAGGGGAAATTCTTATTGGGCAAGAAATATTACATAGTATGTTTGAATGCTTTTATGTTAAACTCACCCTGTCCTTGTTTTTAGTTCTTTACCAAAGGAAATGGATGAAAATGAAAGTAACGAGTCCCTGATGACAGGTGACCAGTATCCTTCTGAAGCAGTGCAGGAACGACAGAATTCAGCACGAGACTCTGGAGAAAGTGATTCTTCTAAGCTGTCCAAGAAAAGCTTCAAGCTGGATTACAGACTAGAGGAAGATGTAACTAAATCAAAGAAGGGGAAGGACGGGCGGTTTGTGAACCCATGGCCTACGTGGAGGAATCCCTCCATCTCCAACCTTCTAAGGTGGCTGCTCACGGAGAAGAATCACAGCAGTGTTCCAAGTTGCAAAGAGGTAATGCGTGTCCCGTGTGGGAGTTGTGTGCAAGCCAGGGCTCTGCTGTGAGTTGCATCGCAACACTCAAGCTGGTTACCGGAGCGCTTTGTTCAATGAGGCATTGCGTAGTTTTAGGGACATACAGTGCATAGTCGCCCCCAAGCCCTCAGGTTCCTGTTGCAGCAGCACAGACGCGTCTGAACGATAACCTCTGATGTGCTGGAAGCAGAGGTTGGAACAGTTTTTGTGGTACAGGCGAGGAAGTATTGATTCTGACTGGTAGCGTTGAATAGCGCTTCTCCAAAGAGGTGACATTTGCATTGGATTAAGTATTTTGACAGTTTTCCAGTAGATGATGGCATGACCAGAGTCATGAAAGTGACAAAGTGCCTGCACGTTCCAGAAAGTAGCCACCTGATACATACTTGGAATATAGATTGTGAAGGGTACAGCCTGGCATAGGTGCAGCTTTTAATCTTTGGTTCAAGTTGCCAAAGCTCTAAAGGAAATCTTCATATTTTTCTAGACCTTGAAAACTTGACTGCATTACTGGCCTTTGAGCACTGTAGCTCTATTTAGGATGAAGGGTTACTAACATTTGGAGTTATTGACGAGATAGGCTTGGGCAAGGTCGGGCATGTGCATAGCATCCTCTTCTCCTGTCTCAGTTCCCTTGAGCTAACACCAGCCTCCTTGGCCTCTCTGCCCTGCCAGCTTTGTGAGTGGAGGGTTAGGGCGAAGAGGGGAAGAGGCACCGTGGGTGCGGCGTTCCTGGGTGTTAGCATTAGCTCCCCTCGCTTGTGAGTGGGCTCATTTTTCTTGGAAGTTTATGGTATTCAAACCCTTTGATGCTAGGAAGGTTCATAGTACTAACACTAACACATTGCTGCCGGCCTGTACCACCAGGAAACAAGCGTGACTGTCCTGTGGGGGGCCCCTGCCATTGGTGGTGAAGTGACTCGAGTCTGTTCTTTTCCTAATAAAATGAATAAACAGTCTATAAATGGACTGAATCTAGTTAGTTGTTTGAATTTGAATAATTACTGCCCATAGATATTAATATTATACCAATTGAAAATAATGCAATAACATATTTATTTTATTAGATTAAAATAATTTATGTAGGGGCTGGAGAGATGGCTCAGTGGTCTAAAGCACCTACTTG